GAGAGAGAGAGATGATAGATAGATAGATAGATAGATAGATACTAGATATAATTTAAAATGAATGAATGGTGTCCAAATTAAAGTTCCCGTATATCCTTTGCCCAACACATGTACCATCTCCCTCACTGTCACCATTTCCCACAGCAGTGAGACATTTGCTACACCCAACAAATATGTGTTTAATACTGATATGTCTTTACCAGTCCAACACATAATTCACATCAGAGTTTTCTCTTCCTTTTGTGCATTCTGTGGTTTGGCACAAATGTGTAATACACATGTCTACCATTACAGTATCGTATGGAACACTTTTATCTTTGTTTTTTATTTATTTATTTATTAAAGATTTCTGTCTCTTCCCCGCCACCGCCTCCCATTTCCCTCCCCCTCCCCCAATGAAGTCCCTCTCCCTCGTCAGCCCAAAGAGCAATCAGGGTTCCCTGCCCTGTGGGAAGTCCAAGGACCACCCACCTCCATCCAGGTCTAGTAAGGTGAGCATCCAAAATGCCTAAAACACTTTTACTGACCTGTTCTTTAACTTTTTCTCTACTTCCTCCAAGTACATGTAACCCTTGATGTTTTTGTCCTGTGTCTACACACTTACCTTTCTTCATTATCAATTGGAACCAGACCTGGAGAAAGAATCTCTCCTTATGACCCAGCAAAAGGCTCAAGTCTACCAGCAAACACAACCCTTCATTTACATGGTGAAATTATTAGAGCTATGATTGGAGGAAGGGCAGTTTCTCATTTGTATTAAAACACGGTGCCTTGATTGTTGCAGATAGCCATAGAGTTGTTTGACGATGTATCTTGATCACTATCAATTCTCTTTATATGTCCATATAAGCAAGAGATAGTTTCCCTTTGGAAGTATGTGGAAAAATCACTCCTGGTTTAATCTGTGCTATTGCAATATAAAGCTCAGTTAGAGGCTTCTCTTAAATGGCCTTTTCTTGGCTTTTGTTTTTCACTGATAGAGTGAGATGAGCTGGTAACACTAAGAAAGATTAGAAGACTGTGAGGAAGGCAGAGTGGCGGAGGTGACAGTATCAGTGACAGTGGTGGCTGTGGTAAAAGAGCAGCTGGGAATTCTAGAGATCTTCTGGGGCTGAAATAAAGAAATTAGAGATAAAGACAATGAGGGCTGTATTAATACCTGAGGATGTGACACTGGCGACTCTAACAACCAGATGCATCCCAGACAGCTGCCAATCCTTAAGTGCCAACAATGCCAACATCCTAGCCAAAGAGCTGTGACTCTAGCCACACTCAAGGCTCCAGGATCATAAAGGCACTGCATGTGTGCTGCCATATTTTACCTACTGCTTCCAGAAGCTGTTGATGACAAAAGTTTCCAAGTTCAAGGCTGGAAGTTGGTGGTTAAAGCCCAGATTAACAAGTCTCCCATCTGAAACCTCAGGACCACAGATCAGGACCAAAGGGCTTCTGAAGAGTTTGGAGTTTGTAAGACCCTGGGTATATTAGACTGTCAGAGGCCTTGAGTCCTCTACTACAATAAAAACCCTGTCTCAGCTCTCCATGATCCCTACCCAAGTAGAGCAAAGGGACCTTGGCCAGCTAGTGTTAACCTCCTGAAATTGGTGCACCCCGTATGTGGGGTTTGTGTCTAGTGACTAGAGTACAACTGTTTGCTACAAAAGTCACAAGGGGGGCTGGAGAGATGGCTCAGCGGTTAAGAGCATTGCCTGCTCTTCCAAACGTCCTGAGTTCAATTCCCAGCAACCACATGGTGGCTCACAACCATCTGTAATGAGGTCTGGTGCCCTCTTCTGGCATGCAGGCATACACGCAGAAATAATATTATGCTGGGTGGTGGTGGCACACGCCTTTAATCCCAGCACTCTGGAGGCAGAGGCAGGCGGATCTCTGTGAGTTCGAGACCAGCCTGGTCTACAGAGCTAGTTCCAGGACAGGCTCCAAAGCCGCAGAGAAACCCTGTCTCGAAAAACCAAAAAAAAAAAAAAAAAAAGTCACAAGGTTAGGACTTTTGTGAGCTGGTGAGTTTCATAAGAGAAGAATGTGAGCATAACTAAACTTTCATATATATTTACGATAACCACAATGTTTATGGGAAGTAAGGAGTCAGGTTTCACTAGCCAGGGAAATTGAGCAACACTGGGAGGAGGCCTATTTCAGCACCCCCCTCCCCAAGGAGAAAGCACAGTGAGTGACATTTAGTGCTGCTCAAGATAGGAGGTGTCTTTAACAATGTCGCAGACCCTGGTGTCTTGACTTGTGTCCTACTCTACAGTTTTTGATTTACTCATTCATCTATCTACTCAAACCAAGCAAGCTCACTTCTTGCCTTGTTAAAGGTCTCAGGATCTGAACATCGCTGCAGAAATTTCCAGGGAGGTAAGTCTGTTTCCTAAATATGTGATCAGATATCTCTGTGAAATATAAAGGAACATAGGAAAGAAATCAGAGATTTCTATTTGCCATCTAAGTGCTGAATCTTATACATTATTTATTTAATGATTTATTATTTTTTCTAACTTACACTTCTGTATATGGCCCATTGTAAAATCAATACACATATGTAATGTCTAGTAATATAGTCTGTGAAACGGACATTTCCCTGCCTTCAACAATCAACTATTGTATGTTTTGGGAATTACACATTTTATTTTCTAACTGTGCTGAACTATGTTATACACTGTTCTATCCAATAATTGCCTGTTGTGCTAAATAAGAACAAGAGTTGAGTTGTACTCTGTGTTGTAATCTTGAATTTATTTTTTAATTTCTTTCTGTTCCTCCTTTGTTCCTCCTGCCTCTAGGTCTTCCCCATCTCTAGAGAACCATGATTCCACTTCATTCTTCTATAGAGTTTATTTCTGTTAATAACTGAGACAAGTGGTATTTATCTTTCTCTATCTGTCATGTTTCACTTAACAAGGTTATCTTATTTTCTATTCATGTTGCTTCAAATGACAGGAGTTCATTGCTTCTAAGGCTAATGAATACTTGGTATGTGTGTGTGTGTGGGTCATGTATGAAAGTGCAGGTATATACATATCACAGCATACATGTGGAGATCATGATGTATCTTTGGGGAGTTGCTTCTTGCCTTCTATGTTGTTTTGAGTAAGCCTTTCTTATTTTATCTGTTGCTATACTCTGTATTCCAGAAGAGCTGGCCCAGAAATTTCCAGGCAATTTTCCTATGTCCAGCTTCTCTGTCACCATACAGGGGCTAGGATTACAGACATACACTACTGCATCTTGTTTCTACAGGTTCCAGGGATCTAATGGCAGGCCACAATGGACACTTTTACCAACTAAGCCATCTCCATTGTCCATTAAATGTATATTTACCATGTGCTTTTGTTTTTGGGTTTTTGTTTTCATTTTTCAAACAATCTCAAAATTGGGGATTCCCTTGAACTCCTAATCCTTTCTCCACCTCTCCAGTACTGAAATTATAGGCATGTACTATGGTGCCCGGCTATTTGTTTTCTTACTTCACTCATCCATTCAAAAAACATTTGCAGTTATTCTGTATTTTGGCTGTTGTAAATAATAATGTAATACATATAAAAGTGCAATTACCTTTTCTATATAACTTATTCATCTCCTTTGGTTATATATTCATTTAATGGAAGAAATGAAATACACTGGTTGTGCTTTTTGTGTTTAAGGGATTGCTATATTATTTTTTGTAATGGTTATACTAAATTATGTAACTTCAAACAAAGTTTAGGGTTCCTGCTTCTTTGAATCCTAATCATAATTTATTTTTATCTGTGTAATGATAAATACTCTAACTGGGTGAAATGATAGGTCACTATGGCTTTTATTTAACTTTTTCTGATAATTAGAAAACTTGCTTTATGTCTAAAAGCCACTTATGAGTGAGTGAGTACATATCGTATTTGTCTTTCTGGGCCTGGGTTATCTCACGCAATATGGTGTTTCCTAGATCCATCAAGTAGCCTGAAAATTTCAAGATGTCATTACTTTTTTCTTCTGAGTAGTACTCCATTGTGTAAATTTACCACATTTATTTTCTTTATTCATTATTCAGTTGAGGGGCACTTAGATTGTTTCCAGATTCTGGCTATGACAAACAATGCTGTTATGAACATAGTTGTGCAAATGTCCTTGTGGTAAAATTGAGCAACCTTTGTGAATATACCCAAAAGTGGTATTGCTTGGTCTTGATGTAGGTTCTTCCCTGAGAAATCGCCATACTGATTTCGAAAGCAGCTGTACCAGTTTGCATTCCCACCAGCAATGCAGAAGTGTTCCCTTCTCCCCACATCCTTTCTAACATAAGCTGTCATCAGTGTTTTTGATCTTGGCCATTCTTACAGGTGTAAGATGAAATCTCAGAGTTGTTTTAATTTGCATTTCTCTGATGGTTAAGAATGTTGAACATTTCCTTAACTGTCATTCAGCCATTTTAGATTTGTCTGATGAGCACTCTCTGTTTAGGTTTGTAGCCCATTTTTATTGGATTATTTGTTCTTTTGATGATAAATTTCTTGAGTTCTTTGTATATTTTGGAGATCAGCCCCCATGTGTTGTTTCTATTGGGTATTATTGTCACAGTCACTAGAAAAGTAACCAGTATAGTCATAGTAAGTCTGAGGAGTCAGGATTTGACAAACAAACAAGGGAAAGGTTCATGCACTTAAGGTGAAGAAAAGAGAAGATGCAAACCAATACTCCTAAGTTATGCCACAGTGGCATTTCTCCAGAATCTTTCCATCTCAGCTAGCTTTGACCCCAAGTAACCATCTTCTTTAATAGGAAAGATTGATTTGAAGTTTTTCCTAATGCAGCAATTCTTACCCAATATTCTGTGTAACATAAATGACTGTTGTACTATTGTTTTTCATGAACACACATGTATATAATATTTTCAGATCGTGCATTCATTCATGTAGACATTCCTTTCTTAGGAAATTTCTGAACACATATACAACAGTGCATGCCAATTTTCCCTTACAGTTTCACCAACAACTTTAAAGATGGTGAATGAATACAAGAGAATTGTTCTGCTGAAAGGATTAGCGAACATCAGTAGTGATCAATTTGACTGCTTTAAGTCATTAATGTCCAGTGATTTAAGACTGGAGAGAAACATGCAAGAGAAATATACCAAGGTTCAGATTGCTGACATGATGGAAGATGAATTTCCAACTGATGCTGGATTGAGCAAACTGATTGACTTTTGTGAAAATATACAAACTCTTAAAGGACTTGCTAAAACCCTTAAAGAAGAGAAATCAAAAGGTAACATGTAACGTAGAACCCTCTGTCCCTAATACCATATTGCTATCTCTGCTTCCTTCATCCACATAGCTTTCATATACCCAATTTATACTTCAGTGATCACAGCCGTTCCCTTTCTAGTAGATGCTATGACTTAAGGAGCCTATTTGGCATGTGGACTAACAGAAAAATAGAATTTCATCTAAGATTGGGCTTGCAGGTGTAACAAAGATATTAGAAAATTATGGTTTAAGATCTAATTATATTCATTAACCAATAGTGTCACTTATGTTATTAAGAATACTAGCATAATTATCATCTAGATAAGACAATACTTTAATCAAATATTGCCTTAAGAAGGTATAAATCACCATTGTCATTCATAAAATTATTGAGTTAGGTAATAAGATTTTAGAAAGATAAAATCCACTACTTTTCTATCTTATTCCACAAGTGAATACCAGATTTCTTTCACTGATTTTTTTATGATTTGTGATGGAGGAGGGTCATATGTCTATTTGTTGCTTTCATTGGTTAATTAATAAAGAAACTGCTTGGCCTGATAGGTTAGAACATAGGTAGGTGGGGAAGACAGAACAGAATGCTGGGAGAAAGAAAGCTGAGTCAAGCAGACACTATAGTTCTCCTCTCCAAGATGGATGCAGGTTAAGATCCTTTCCAGTAAGCCACCACCTCATGGTGCTACACAAATTATTAGAAATGGGTTAATCAAGATGTGAGAATTAGCCAATAAGAGGCTGGAACTAATGGGCTCTGCAGTGTTTAAAAGAATACAATTTCCATGTAATTATTTCGGGTAAAGCTAGCCGGTGGCCGGGAGCCCTCCCGGGCAGCAGGAAACAGCCTGCTGCTCCATCTACAGATTTGAGCATACTATACACAAAACATAACCAACAAATTATGATGAAAATTTGTATTTTTAAGAGAATGGCAGGAGAATGAGAATGAGAAAAGCTTGGCTGATGTAATGAGGTTCAAGGACAAGAAGGTTTTCTCCCATTATAGGGAACAAGTAAGCAAAACATCAAATAGTAGAAACTGTGTCTAAGACTGTGCCTTTAGTGGTGTAATCCTACAATAATCTAGTGGAATAAACATTGATATGAATGCAATAAAAATGTGTTCATATGGCAGGAAAACTAGATGGTTCCTAGATCCTTTATTTTGGTTCAAGTGGACTCTTTTATTCATGCATTTATTGTGATGAAAATTATATTCTTCCCAGTAAAAGGAAAAACACCACTGAGAAATAAGAATCAAGAAGCAGGTTCTGCTATAAAAACACCAACTGCAAGCAATACTTCAGCATCGGATGGAGGGAAAACTTCCGCAGCTCAGGTGAGCTTGAGGTACTGCAGCAGATTGACAGGCCAAAAAGGCTGCAGCAGAGCCGCTTGTCCATACTCTGTCCATCAGGCACTGACTGCTTTTTTAGTTTATTTTCAAGCTTTACTGAAACTCATGGATAAATGATCATGTGGCATTAAAATGTGGTAACTCCTACAAGAGATGTGGTATTCTTGACAATCAAGTAGAATAATGGCTGTTTCATGTTTATACAAGACCTAGTTTTCAATTTCAAATTCAAATTCAATTATGTCCTACCATAATGGTAATATGAGAAAAACTGTGTATATAACCCTTTCCTCTCCCTTTATATAATGAAACTACTTATCCACACATTTTGTGAATATTCACAATCATATTCTAAACTTGGCCTGAGGGTGGGTGTCACCCCAAGTTTCCAACATATTCAGGCATAATAAACCTACTACCTAATAATGAAGACACACTTTGATCACTTGATACTGAGACTCATTAACATTGCCATGGATACACTTTCAGAAAAGAAAAAGTATGAATAATGAAAAGACTGCTGTGAAAAAGGTCAAGGGGTCTGAGAGGCCAAATCACCCTCCATGTTCTACAGAAAACACAGCCAGATGCCAGTACTCAGTATTCCAGACCTCATCTTTGGCTTCATGCAACACTTCTTTGGATAAGGTACAAGTCTTAAGCCTCCCTTTCATTTTCTCGATCTAGATATCAGAATCAGATCTTCAAGTTTTGACCATGTTCCACACTTATCACTGAGATTTAATTAGTTAGACACACACAGGGTTTGGATACAATAGAAGTAGATCACCATACAAAGGCAGAAACATAAATGTACATGATACAATTACAGAAATTGCTGCATCATAACTTTTGGCTGCCACGAAGACATTTAATAAACCTGGCATTTCTGACAATGAGAAATGTCCTGCCTTGCGCTGATCATAGATAGGAAGAGAGAGATGAAGAGTCAGTAGCCATAGGCTCCATCTCTATAAGATGGAACCCATACCTGACTCAGCTAAAGCAGTCAAGAATCTGAGAAACCTACTACTATTATTCTGCTTAAGGAACATAGCAACAACATGACTCATAGTGACAAACTGTCATATCTATAGATCAGTGCTTTATTCAGGTCTCATCAGAGAAGCTTCTTCTTGTCAAAGATGGGAATTAACAGAGACCCACAGCTGCCAATGTGCAGATAGTGAGAGACTTCACAGTATCCATCCCTCAATGGGGAGTCTGCATCAAATCCCTTAGGGAATCTATGTGGAAGAGGAAGATGAAAGCTTGTAAGAGTCAAAGATAGTACATGACTCCAAGGAATCAGTGTTTGTCCTTTTGGACAAACAGGAGTGATGCACATATGAGCTCAGACACTGTAGTGGCACACATTTAAAAGGCACAGGTTCAAGCTGCCTGGGGTCCCAGAACAGGGAGAAGGGAGGGGACATAAGTCCCACCCTTAACCAACAAGCAATTTTCAGTAGATAACAACTACCAAAGAGTTTCTTCAATGGAGATTATCAACCACAGTCTGAATGAAGGTGGTGCACCAACACCAAAAGAGGTCCACATGGTTTTATGTGTGTGGTGGATTGGTTTTTTTATTTTGTCTTTTTGGGGAAATGTTTTTCTGGCTTTTTCTTATCTTTTTATTTATCTACATTTTGAGAGTGAGAGGAAGACATGAAGTTAAATGGGGGAGGATTTGGGAGTGTTGAGGGAGGGGAATCCTAATCAAATGGAAAAATTTTAAATGAAAATAATAGAAAAATACTAATTCTGAGAGGGAAGAAAAGAAATGTAGTGAGAGAAATTAGAGAATTGATGCCTCTTACTTTTTCTGAGTACTCATTGGAGGAAAACTGTAGCAATGTCAGCATCCATCTCTGTACTCTCCTTTTCCTCTCTCTAGGTTTCCTTCTGTATGCCCCCATCTCTTTATCACTTGATGAAATATAAGCAGACAGTTAAGCAAAAACAGAAGCAATTTTACTCACCTCAAACATTACCATTCTAATAATTTAGAGATAAATATTTTTGTTATATTTTTCATTGATTGTTATAATTATGTGGAAAATTTTTCTAGAGTAACATCTTACAAGAGTTATTACTTCACTGTTTTTCCAATTTGAAATATCAGGATTACCTTTCCAATTCCCTAAGTTACAAGCATATAACATTCCATGGCTATATCAGTATTTATGTTGCTTTTTAAAATAATTCATTGTAGATTGTTTATCCACTACTACAAACTCAGTTCCACTTTCAATGAATATTGTGAATGGAGACTGTGTTTGGTTTCCTGGCTGCCCAGACTCTAATAATCACACAGGAACTACATTAATTGCAACACAGTTTGGCCAATAGCTTAGGCATATTTTTAGCTAGTTGTTACATCTTAAATTAATCCATTTCTATCACTCTGCGTATCACCATGAGGGTGTGGTCTACTGGTAAGGTTCTGGCATCCTTCTCCTTTGGCAGCTACATGGCATCTGTCTGACTGTGCCTTCTCTCTCTCTCTCTCTCTCTCTATATATATATATATATATATATATATATATATATATATATATATCGAATTTTCCACCTGGCTTTACTCTGCTAAGTCATTAGTTAAAACAGCTTTATTCATCAATCAATAAAAGCAACTCATATACAGAATGATATCTCACATCATAATATCCTTGATATGTGTGCATTAATGGTGTAGGAGGTCCTTCTTTCTATGTGTTGCTTATATTGGTTAATGAATAAAGAAACTGCATTGGCCTGATAGGGGCAGAATTCAGGTAGGCTGAGAAGACAGAACTGAATTCTGGGAGGAAGGAAGAAGAGGGGAGAGACACCATGGAACTGCCAGAATCAGGCATGCCGAATCTTTCCTGATAAACCACTGCCACATGGCAATATATAGATTAATAGAAATGAGCTAAATCAAGGTGTAAGAGTTAGCCAATAAGATGTTAGAGCTAGTAGGCTAAGCAGTGATTTAATTAGCACAGTTTCTGTGTGATTATTTCAAGGTTAAGCTGGCTGGGTGGCAGGGATGAATAAGTGGCCCTGTCTCTTCTACACATTAAGAATCATTTTGTGAGCCACAATCAGAGAGTCCGGTTTGATCACATGCTTGTTTAGTCCCAGTCTAGCTGGATTTGGTGAGCTCCCATTAGAATAGGCACACTGCCTCAGTGGGTGGACCAACCCCTCACAGTCCTGAATTCCTTGCTCATCTTCTTCCTCTGTCTGCCCTTCAACTGGACCTTGGGAGCTCAGTCTGTTGCTCTGATGAGGGTCTCTGTCTCTATCTCCATCTGTCACTAGACAAAGATTCTATAGTGATATTCGAAATAATCATCAGTGTGATAGTAGGGCAAGGACAGTTCAGGCACCCTCTACTCTGATGACCAAGGACATAACTGGGGACATCCCTGTGGACACCTGGGATTCCCCCCTAGAGCCAAGTCTCTTGCCAACCCTAAAATGGCTCCCTTAATGTAGATATCTTCTTCCCTGCTCCTATATCCGTACTTCCTTCATCTCTACCCTCACACTCCACCAAGCTCTCGCCAGTATTTCCCTTCTCCCTTCCCTCTCCCCCTCTCCCCTTCCCCAACCTTACCCCCACCCCTATCTCTACCCCCATACTTCATTTTGTGTTTTTCATAGTATCTCACTAATTTATTTTATACATATCATATAACTTTCTGTTAATTTCAATCTAGTCTTTCCTTCTTGTTTACCTATCACTATCACTAACTATATTGCTTTTTGATTTTTTGCTAATATTTTATTTAATTTTTAAAACAATCTTATTTTACATACCAATCCCAGTTTCCTTTTCCTCCTGTTCTTCCGCTATCTCCAACATCTATCCACACCACCCCCAACTGCTCCTCAGAGAGGCCTCTCACAAGGAGTTAACAAAATCTGACACATCACTTGAAAGAGAAACAAGGCCCCTTTATCTATGCTAAGCAAGGTACCCCTCCATAGGGAATGGGCTCCAAAGAGCCAGTTCATACACTAGGGATAAATAGTGGTTCCACTGCTAATGGCCTCACAAACTGCCCAAGCCACACAAGTGTCACCCACATTCAGAGAACCTAGCTCAGTCTTATACAGGTTCTGCAGCTGTCAGTCTGGAGTCAGTAAGCTCCCACTTGCTTGGGTCAGCTGTTTCTGTGGGTTTCTTCATCATGATCTTGGCTCCTTTACTCATAATACTGCTTCTCCAGGAATTCAGCCCAGTGATGTGTTCATGCTGAACATCATGTTTCATGTTGGAAATAGTCCTCTGAGTTTACAACAAAAGTGCTCAAGGTTCTGTGGCTAAACCCATTGTTTTAATTCATTAGACGTTTGGCCAGTGAAAGAGTTCCTCTTTAGCTTTTCCATAGTTCAACCAATACATAAAAATTGATAGAAGTAATGTGGAGATTGTGTTTATCTTATGTAAAGGTTATTTTTTTTAATTTGTGGCTAAACTTATATGTTTATATCTCTATGTTTGTTCAACCCAGAACCAAAAGACACAGACCCAAAACCAGAACACAGCCAGAGGTGCTGTTTGCAAAAATAATGCCATGGTAGTGATGGTGCTCAAGGCAACAGAGCCATTTGTATATAAGTCAACAGAACCTGGAAGAAAGATGATGTTTCATGCTACAGTGGCCACTGAAAGCGAGTATTTCCATGTGAAAGTTTTCAACATCAACCTGAAAAAGAAGTTCACAAGAGAGAATGTCATCATTATCTCTAATTACCTTGAATTCAAAGGAATCCTAGAGATAAATGAAAATTCCTCTGTGCTTGAAGCTGGTCCTGTCCAAAGTATTAAAGTCCCTATAAGCCTTATCAGAAAATCAAAAGAAACTCCCAAGATTTTTGATATTCGCAAGTATGCCACTGGAACACCGGTTTATGGGTTATTTACATTACACAAGGTAATGTCTGAAATTTTGTTTATGTCCTCTTCGCCACCAACACCTGAGCTCAAATATAAGAACTTTCCAGTCCATGTATAATGACTGTATTGTTACGAAGACTTTACCATGTCTGGGGTAACAGATGAAATTATCCCGCATATTAAGAGATAATTCAACAGCCTATTTCCTATGATATTTCTTAAAAAGGTCTCTGAAAATAAATTACAAATAATCTTTACTTTCTTTGCTAAAAAATATTTACCCTCAGCCACAATAAGCAGGAATAGTATAGTAGGTCAGTACCATGCTAACAGTCTCAGATTTTTAAGCTCTATTGCAACCATACAATATTTATTCTTTTCTTTCTATACACTATGTTTCTATTGATTGTCTGAACTAAGGTGAATATTAATTACAACAGATATTTGGAGTAATAAATGATTGACTAGCAACCTTCTAAATTAAAAACCATTCAATAGAATGAATCTTTTATCTCTTCAGTAGCTTTAATCATTCAATGTTGACTTTGTATCTTATTCAATTAACTACTTCTGAAGACCTTAGCAATTGAGAACTATAGTATAAAGTGAAATTTAGAAGGCAAGTGAACCTAGTTTTCTCATTTAGAGAAGAAAATACATGCAGACATCTCATTGATGGATCACTCAATACAATGTGAATTGGGGATATTGGCTTATTTGGACATGATACTTGAAAATAAGTAAATGAAGAAGGTCTAAATGAGTGAATTACAGGAATCTTACCTGTTATGTAGATTCCCTATAACCTATTGGATGAATGAATAGTGGGAGTTAATGTCATTCATCCCTTTATAACCATAAGATACAAATATGGATGCCTAAATTTCTAATGTCTATGATCCTGGGTGATTTAGAGGGAATGCAGGCCATTGAGGTATAAGAAGCAGAGGAAATCAGGAAAAGCATTTATTGTCCTAACACTTCCAGGCACAAATCTTCTTGATAAAGAAAGAAAATCATCACACTAATAAAGAAAGTTCTTTGGGAACACTTCACTACAGACATCTGCATGCCTGTGTCTATAACAGTTCTCATATTTTTCTATCTTTTGTCCTGAAAAAGTCTCTTTTGAATGTATAATAATGTTTGTGAATTAGATAACTTTCAGAAAAGGAATGCCAATTTTACTTTTTCAGATAAAGGTGAACCCAAAGAACACAGTCTATGAAATGAAGGACGGCACAGGAAATATAGAAGTTCTAGGGCGTGAGCAATGCTACAACATCAGATGTAAGGAAGGAGATAAACTGCGACTCTTCTGCTTTCAAGTGAAAACAATTGACAAGCAACCGAAGCTGGTGTCTGGCGATCACAGTTTCATTAAGGTACCAAGTAAACAGGGAACAGATTTATCAAAGCAGAATTTCACATTTCTTTAGGATTCTGTACGTGAACTTTTAGTGTGTTATGTAGTAATAAGGGCTGCGGTGGGGCTGCGTCCCCAACACCCCAGCCACCTGCCCGGCTAGCTTATGCCCCGAAATAATTACACGGACACTGTATTCTTTTAAACACTGCTTGGCCCTTTAGCCCTAGCCCTTACTGGCTAATTCTGTTATCCCGATCAACCCATCTCTAATAATCGGTGAGCACCGGTCTTACCGGGAAAGGTTCAGCATGTCTAACCTGGCGGCTTGCTTCATGGTGTGTGTCTGCCCGGGAGCGGGGCATGGTGTCTCTCTCCGAGGCGTCTGCTCCCGAGAGGAGAGCTGTGGAGTCTCTGAGCTCACTTCCTCTTCCTCCCAGCATTTTGTTCTGTTTACTCCTCCCACCTATCCTCTAACCAATAAAATGGGCCAGGGCAGTGCCTTTATTAGCCAATGACCTTCCTCCATCAGTGTTACATAGATAATTCTGTCTCTGGAGGGGAGAATTAAAATGATGTCCTTATACTCATTTCTATGGGGAAGATTTTTAAAAAATATATTGAAGAAATAATCCAAAGAATATTGTATATATGCTAAATAACAAGATATATGAGGAAATAAGAGTGATGTGGAAATATATTTCAAAAGTGATCAAGAACAAGAGTTTTGAATAAGTGTCAAATTTGAGTTGAAAGCCAGCTTTAACCATTAAGAATTGACTGATTCTGGGGAAAGCATTACTTTAAATCTGGACTTTAAGGTAAGAAATGCCTGGATATGTATGAGTTATCACAGAATTTGGCACATCATGAAAAGTGAGTAGGTACTATTTTCTTAGCGGGGTGAAGGAGAGAGAGAGAGAGAGAGAGAGAGAGAGAGAGAGAGACCTAAGAAATAGAAACGGCATGAAAATATATCAATGTATGGCTCACCACTAGTAATTCTTCTACATATGAAAGACAGAGACTCTGAGAACATGAGACTAAAGGGCTGTTTAAATGGTCAAATAAATGTAGTGCTGTCCGAAATAAGGAAGTAAGAACCATTCATGGTGGATAAAGTAAATATTGAAAGACTTTCTGAGTTTGAATGCTTGATAACTTTGACACATAAGTAAAAAAGAATTTTGTACTTGTCTTGAAAATTTGTGTTGCAGAGAAACTTGCCTTGGAGGTAGAAATATTAGTTAGACACAACTATGTACTATTATACACTTTGTATTAAATATTTGGTTAAATATTCAGAAACATTGCAAGTTGCTTATGAAATCTCCAGCAGTTTGAAAGTCACCATAGATTTACAGCACTAAAACATTTAAAGGCTATTGAGAATGATTTTGGAAATCAGGCAACTACTTTATCAAGACATCACAGAATCTATTTTATAATTTTATTAGGCAGGGAAAAGATAAATGGAACTTTGAGTGATAGAAATGACTAATGCTTAAGAAGATAAACCCTCATTATTTTACAACCAGCTTGGTAATGGTGGTAAGAGAAAAAAGTGGGTTCAAAGCACATCCAAAAGCTATTCAGAGATAACACTAATAAGCAGAATAAATGGTGCTGGTGCCAACACTAAAAACAAGAACAACACCTAGGGGTTTGAAGCATGCTCAGATTGATGATGATGTTAAACTCCCTTGAGGAAATTAACATGCATACAAATAGAGAACACATACTAAGTACTTTCTTTTTGTTGGGACTTTAAGCAACAATAGAGAGATAATAATTATTTTCATTTCACAGATAGTCAGTAATAATCACAGACAATGTGCACGGTGGAACTGAAATCTACCTGTGCTGCCTGGCACTGAATGCAGATTCTTATACAAGGTGATTATACAGATCACTGAGGCAGTTATGAATCACAGGACAGTGAAGGGATAGGTAAACAATACTATAAATTAAGATAAACAAATTGAAAGGGCAAGATAAAATGAAAGAGATGAAACATAGATATAAAAATTTAAAGAGGAATGGGGTCAACATAGATCATTCCAGATACAAAAAAGCAAGGAGCTCTCTGAAAATAACTACATTAATAAGCTAGAGATGACTTTAGCAGAAGATATGCTCCAGATACAACAGTCAAAATGCAAATGTTGCTACATTCTGACACAGGGATATAAACATTAATTGTTCCATTTTCAAGAATACAAGAATTCATGAGTTCCAACTATACCTGATAGCCCAGAGCAATAGTGAAGCAAATAAGAACTTCATGTAGTTTGGTTTTGTTTTTCTGCTCCAACCCATGTTTTGGAAAGGTAAACCAATACTTTTGCTTTTTTGTTATAATTCCCTGCCCCAAAAGAAAGTCATGTTGAGTGTGAAAAGCCATCTCTTCACGAACCACATAGTTGGAAAAGGGTGGCTCAAAATAAGGCAATAAAATGAAGAAGGTAAAGCAGAGAAGATCAACAGCCTTTGAGAGGGCAAAAGATCATATAAGGCCATTGAGGGCAAGAGACAATGATAGATGACTGGAGAAATATAAAGAGAGCGTTAGTTCAATGACTAGAATCTTATAATATCTCTCACTATCTCTTTCAAGGCTACCAAGACTTGAAAAAAAAAACACAGAAGATGGAGAAAAAGTGGCTATCCACAAGATCAATTCAGTGCTTTTAACAGTGGACAGCTTTTAAAATAGAGACACCAAGCAACTGGAAATAAGCAAGAGCTTTATTAGTACATTCAAGCATTTAAATGTCCTTCTATTTAATTTGTGACTATGTATTTTCATTTGCAAATTTCCTCATTGCTCTCTTTTTCTATGAAAATAATACTTGAATTTAATTTCTCTAGTGTGAAAATAATAAATTTCTTTTTAAAGGGACATCATTACAAAGTGCTATATGTAGTTTGTTCAATTCATAGGTTAACTGCTAGATACTGGTATATTTGTGCTCTGTTGGACACATAGGATGGAATACACAGAATTTTGTCAATATTGAGTTCAATATTCTGATTAGAACTTTCAGAGTATAGAATCTATTAGAATTCTCTCTCATTCTGTGTGTTGTTTCTTCTCTCCATTGACTGTTCCCGTTACTGTACACAAATTGAAGTTTTATGTGGTTTCATTAGTCAGTTGTTGACCTTATTCTTGGATTATGAAGTCCTATAAAGACAGTTCTTCTGAACAGAACAGGGTTAGCACAGGCACTAAGGATCAACAATTAATAAAAGGGACATCATGAAATTGCAAAGCTTCTGCATTGCAAAGGACACCATCCTTCAGACAAGGAAGCAGTGTACAGAATGAGAAAAAAAGTATTACCAAATACACATCTGATAGCGACCTAATATCCAAATATATAAGGTACTCAAAACACCAGAAGATCGATTAAATGAGGAATTCAATTAAAAAAAATAGGGTGCAAATTGGGCAGGGTGGTACATGCCACCTAGTACTCAGGAGGCAGAGGCAGGCAAATCTATGTGAATCTGAGGACAGACTGGTCTACAAAGTGAGATCTAAACAGGCAATTCTCACAAAAGGAAAGTCAAGTGACTGAAAAACATTTAAAAGAAGGTTCAACTTTAGTAACCTTCAGGGAATGCAAACCAAAATTATTTTGAGATTTTATTTTAAGCCCCACTAAACAGGTAAGATCAATAGAATAAGTGACAGTTCATGCTGGTGAGGATGTGGAGTAAGGGAAACAGCCATCCACTGCTGGTGGAGTGCAAACAGCTTACTTCAGTCTCCTTTAAACACTTTCAATAAAATGTTTTGTTTTATTTTCCTGAGAAGGCTTTTCCAGACACAAAACCATAAGATTGCATCCTTTTCTGTCTTTAGAATGTTTATAGTCTACCTTTTTCTTTTTATTCTATGACCTGATTATTTTTAATTTTAAGATGTGAAATGGTATTTACTTTAATATGAATATGGAATTTGTGCCATCAAAACCATTTTTCTTGGTAAAACATGCTTGAATAAACATCCTTTCTCCACTTCTTTACTTCTCACTTTTGTCCCAAAGCAACTTTCTAGATTCTTTACTGCATTTACCCAGTAGTTCCTCTGCATTTTAAGTTCAAAACTACACTTTGTCTTTACAAAGAACCCAAAATAATAAACAAAATATTATAGTTTTCAATATTTCGAGATATGGAAATCAGCATATAAACTGATACTCCCTTGTGTTGTGAATTAGGTCGGTACAATAAATAACCAGACCAGCTCAAGATTAACAGTTATATTTTAATGGTAAAAAAGGGGAAACTCATACTACAAGAGTGGGAGGTCCACCATCCTATCTGTCCAGCTGGCACCGTGCAGAGAGAGCACGCACCTGATTCCTCCCAGTTTTTCTACCTGGGCCCCAGGTAGCCACGCCCTAACTAGATATGATTGTTGATAGAGTTTCCCCATCACCCTTGCCTTATAAACATACTGATAGAATTTTTTTAAAAAAAATTGCCAGCATTATCATTATTGTATGAACTACAATAGAGTTTTAATTTTTGATCAATTTTACCTCTTCTTACTTCCTCAGTTCCTCTGAGATCCATACCCAGCCTACTTTATTTAAGGAGTAATTTCTGTCTAATTAGTGTGTCTATATACCCTTGGTTATTGTCACACATTGAAGCATATTCTGTCTACCAGAAGCCACACATTAATAAAAGTAAATCTTTTAAAGATTTACTTATTCATTATATATGCACAAATTATGATACATTTACACAATGGAATACTACATAGTGGTAAAAAATGAGGCCATTTAAAAATGGATGGATCTAGAAAAAAAAACATATTGAGTGAGGTAACCCAAATCTAGAAAGACAAATATAATAGAAGGACTCTTTCATAAGTGACTTTTGACATAAAACAAAGAAAAAACAACCTACAGTCCAAAACCCCAGAGAACCTAGACAACAAAAACACTAAAAGAGACATACATGGATCTACGTAGAAAGGAGAAAAAAGACAAGATCTCCTGA